CAGAAACCTTTTGCAGCAGCATCAGCATGCTCCACCTTGTAGAGCCAAGACTCCCAAGCACGTACTGCAGACTGCAGTGGTTGGCAGGATCATGGGGGGAGGGATAGTCTGGACGAAGCCTAGCTGATGCAAGAATGACAAAGGCAAGTACGACTCCACAAAATCGTGGTACCTAAGGTATTCGAAATAAAGGGTACTACGGTCTATCGAATCTAGGATGCGGTCATAAGGCAACTAGTGCACCTGTTCAAAACTACATAAAAATATTTATTAGAACAATTTTATTACTTGAAATAACTTGTAACTAAATTTTAAATAAAATAACTTAACATACGCCAGAGGTGGTGAGAGTGTCAAGGCACCGACGGAGAGAGGTGAGACGATTTTTTGACCTCTCTATCACCTCTCCACGAGCGAGATCGTGTGACACAGTTAGGACCAATGGCCAGACGCTCTCGCTAGGTCGGAAGTAGGAGAAGTACACATTTATCCAGCACTACAGAAGAGTTAAGCACCAAGACAATCTCTGTGTCCCCCTTGCTGTTAATACCTAACTGTCTGTCTAGATAAGCTAGTGCACCCAAGCCCCAAGAGTAGCCTCATCCACATGTCGTCTATCATCTCGCACAGGAGTTTGGGACTCATTCTGCTACCACTCTTGTCAACAAACAAGGTGATAGCTAGCATCACCCACATCCACAGGCAACCGACATTTCCCTTGAAATGCTTCTAAAATCGCGGCAACTGTCACCACACCATGCTACCAGAACGACCCAATCAACTTAGTCTTCGGACCCGCAGCATATCCATGCAGTACGCCTAGCAGGCGCTTGCGTCAGGGTCCTCTGCGACTAGGGCTCCCTCCACTGAAACCCCCAAAATGGCCCGAACGTCGCGCAACATGATACTTATCACCAAAAGACAGGTGAACGAGTTAGTATCTAGTTGTTATCGCTCCACAAATGCAGAAAGAAGTAGAATGTCCACGTGGGCATGCATGGAGTTCACCAGGTATGACAGCCCAGTCTGACGAATAATGTCGCGTGAAGCGCAATCCATACCTGAGAGCCAAATCCTCAACTTGTCGTGTGTTCCTAGTCTACTTTGGCATTTTGGAATGCCTCTAAGCTCTCCAGTCCACTATCATGAGCTCCCTCAGGACAGGGACAACAAGGATACTGTGGGATGGTGTATTGGGGAAGAGTTTCAACCGAACAAGGGAGTTCGTATAGGTTAAAGTGTCAATGTGGAAGAAATGTAATTTAAACGGCGAATGCCTTCCTGAACTCGAGAAAGTAAGGACCGGGGCTTCCCACACAGCTGATGACAAGGACTCTTTTTTATTGTTTCCTGTACCAAAAACGGATTACCCAAGCCCTGGCTTTACTCCTCATAAAAGTAGGTATTAATCTTTCGAGAGGCGAAAAGGAACTTCACCGAAAGCTATATATGGATGACACTTCCATCCATGGGGCCACCGGGCACTTGGCCTTTAATGACGCTGACATCCTCATGTTCACTCCTAAAACGTTTGCTAGTTCATGCATTAGAATAGAACATATATATATAAAATATTGTGACTGACTGTATCGATGAGATGCTATTATTAAATAAAAATTTTTTAATGTTAAATAACAACAAGTATGTAAATAATTTACCTAAGGATCATGTGGCCTCAAAACGGCCCCTACCCTGTCATGGAGGAGCAGGGCGTGCAGGTCATGCAAAAGCCTTTCGTGGGGGTCATGCAGGTTTTGCAGGACCCTGTCGTGTAAGAGGAGAAAGAATGTCCTCCTCATATGCAAAGTCATGCTCCTCAAACTCAAAGTCCTCATACTCTGTTGAGTAATGCAGCCTCCCGACTATCGACTCATAATAAGAATCACGCTGTTGAACAGTCGGAACCACAGGGAGAGGTCTCGAACTACCAACCAAGTATAAGCGAGACTGCTGACCACTCTATAGCAGAGAAGCGAGAGGTCTCGAACTGCCAGCCTGGTTAGCATGACAAGTCTGTCTGATGCGAATCCAACGAATCATCTCCTCTCTCTCCCGATGAGCGAAAGCATCTACAAATTGACTCTTCGTGTGTCAGGGTCCATAACCAAAATAGTATGCTACCTCGTTAGTGGTGGCTTGTCGCCTAGGTCCACCACTAGTCTAAATCAACAATTTAAACGAATAACTGGTAAACAATTTTTTTTTTAAATTCATATATTATATTAATTATTATAAGATAATTACAATTTACTATTTGTTAATAATATTACACAAACTTATGATAATTAAAAGTATTAATTACTATATCTAATATACAATATTTAATATTAAAAGTAATTATTTTCCTAAAAAGTATTGAAAAATAAATTTAGTAATTATTCGTAACCACAAAATTAATATAATTACACTTATTGATTGTATAATTATACAACTATTTAATTAAAAATAAGACAATTATTGTTTACACCTATATTAAAATACTAATTATAATTTTGAAACTGATAATTACTCAACAAACAATTCAATTACATATATAATTTTCTAAAAATACTAAAATTTATGCATTATACTATTAATAATTAGTATTATTAAAAATTATTATTATTACAATATTAATATAATTACATTTATATAATATATATAATTTTATTTATAGTAACATATTTAGTAACCACACTAAACTAAATTTATCTAAATTAACCAAAATCAAAAAATAATTTAATTCTATTTTTAAATATGTAAACATATTAAATAATTTTAATATCAATTATTCGAAAAAAAAATATTATGTTCGGTCGGCCGGCCGGTGAGAGCATGGCCAGACGGCGGTGTCGGCGGCATTAGGCATGGCATGCCAACACTTGCGGCTGGTTAGCGAACGGCCTACCGGCGATGGCAGTAGCTGAGGGTGCGGCCGACCATCGATGTCGGCCGCCTAGCGTGCGGCCGGATATGGGGCCTACCGGCCGCGCCAATGCCGGTCGCATCTGCTGTCGGCCGGCCACGCAGAATATTTCAATTTTTTTAAAATTATTTACAAAATGAAAGAAAAAAAATACAAGACGAATCACGAATGCCTTGTCTCGGCGTTCGCTAGGATTTGAGATTTTTTGGAGGTGAAACGAGGCGGCGAGTTCGAAAGAGAAAGAGTGATTAAGCGAGAGAATTAAAGGGCAAAACCGCAAAAAATAATTGGGGGCGGTGGAAGTAATAGGGGGCAGTGAGTAGCAATTCCCAAACAAAAACATGCACATCTTACA